GTGTGTGTGAGAGTGTGTGTGTGTGTGTGTGATTAAACTGAGATGAACTGTGTCTCTGAGGAACACAACAGCTCTCGCCGTCTCTCGCTCTCATCCTTTTACTTTGAAGTACATCAGAAACTCCCACATGTCATTAGCGATTAGCTGTTAGTTGCACTGAGTGCAGGGGAAAACAGAGGATCATGGGATACCTGTCGACCTGGATCAGATCAGACGGTGAATTAATCACAACTCTTATATGATGAGAATATGGTGCGATATGACACGTGTTTCCATCGACACAGAAAGGCCTCTGAGGAGCGCTCAGATGATCGTCCACTGCAAACGGTCAGCTCTAGACCAGCATTATATTCACCCCTTCATCATCCTCATCATCCTCAAGTCTCTCGTCTCCGCATGCAGGAACCCCATGTTCCAGACTGTTTGAGTTTCCTAATCCTGGATTAGAAGAGCTGGAGCAAACTCACATTCAGGACTCAACACTGCACACACTCACTCAGTCCCAGAGTTCAGTTCTGAACTTTCATTTGTGCCAAAAAAAGGAGTCAAATGATTTCTACTATAACTGAGTCAAAGTCTAAAGCTAATGAGGACTTAAGATGAATTAGTATATCTTGTTCCATCATTTATTGAATTCAAACAATGAAAGACATTTTAAAAAATGTGTTCGGGCATAATGTGTACTGAAATTACATCTAGACCGCAAACATGTAAAAATTTCAGTGTCTCAGCAATGGATGCTCTGCAGTGAATGGGTGCCGTCAGAAGGAGAGTCCAAACAGCTGATAAAAACATCACAATATTCCACAAGTAATCCACAGCACTCCAGTCCATCAGTTAACACCTGGAGAACACAAAAGCTGAAACAAACCCATCATCAAGACGCTTTTAACTAAAATACATATGGAGTCCATAATCCATAATAACGCTTCCTCCAGTGAGTCAGTGTTCTGGTGTGAATCAGGAGAGAAATCTGCACAGATCAAGCACCGTTTAAACAGCTCTAAACAAATATGTGAGAAACAACAGGAGATGCACTTTTTCACTGGAGGAAGCGTTATTATGGATTATGGACTCGTATTTTAGTTAAAAACGTCTTAATGCTGGATTAGTTTCAGCTTTTGTCTTCTCCAGATGTTAACTGATGGACTGGAGTGCTGTGGATTACTTGTGGATTATTGTGATGTTTTTATCAGCTGTTTGGACTCTCATTCTGACGGCACCCATTCACATCCATTGGTGAGCAAGTGATGCAATGCTACATTTCTACAAATCTGATGAAGAAACAAACTCATCCATATCTCAGATGATCTGAGGGTGAGCACATTTTCAATTTTGTGTAAACTATTCCTTTAAAACTATGCATGTAAACATCACGCAAAACAAGAATTCTTGATAACACTTTAGAACAAGGTTTGTTAACTTTAATTAATGCATTGGGTATCAATATTTTCAAAGCATTCATTAATCAAGGTAATGGGAATTTATGCATACACATACATCTTTAACATTTCAAGTTGCATAAATTAACATTAATGTAATATGAATAAAAAAAACTGTTGTTTATAAAAATGTTTATAAATGAACATTAAGAGATTAATAATGTTAAAAATGTGTAATTAGTTCACAACATTGCTATTTTAGTACCAATGGGAAACTATTATAGTTCTTTCAATAAATATTTTTAAATCATTTATATTTTTGTATTTTCAATGTAATTTTGGTTAAAGTTTAAGTGATTATGTTGTGCATTTTGTAATTATTATTATTATTTTTTTTTAAATACATTTCTATTTTAGTTTTAGGTATTACCTCAACATAAAAAAAGAAGAAATTAAAATGAGAAATGTCACATTGGCAACTAGCTGAAATAAAATGAGTTTACGTTTATATATATATATATATATATATATATATATATATATAAAAAATTCCCTTAAAGTACTTTATAAAATAGTTTTAATTAACTATAATAACCCTTAATTTCAGTTAAAGTTTTAGCAGTTTTGTTGAGCATTTTTTTATTTTAAAAGTCTAAATAATTTTTTCATAATTTTTATTTCAGTTTTAGTTGAAATTATTTTAGTACATCAAGTTAAACTATATGAAAATAAAAGCTGAATAAATAGCTGAAATAAAAAAAGTTTACTTTTTTAAATTTCATTTTATTTCAGTTACGATTTATTTTTATTTCAAGTAATCAAAAAGTATTTTTAGGATTTTAGTTTTAGTTACCTGTAACAGCTCTGGTTCATGATACCAAATGCATGAACTAATGTAAACAATTAAAAAATCTAAAGATATTCAGGATAACATCTGAAAGCTTGCTTCGCATGCAAACTGATCTGGTTTTAAGGATGTTTAGATAGTTTTACTAGAAAACAAGACAAAGTTACAGATGAAGCGCAGGATTTTGGCACTTTAAGTGCTCCAGTGAACAAGACCTTGCATGACTTACATGCACCACAAGCCTCGTCTGGAAACAAGACAAGCTCCAAACCACAAGCGCAGTGTTTGAGCGAGAGGCACGGAGCCTGCGCTTTACTGTGGGATCTGTGAGGGGCGAAACCAGTGTGGTCTCCAGCCCGGGACAGCTCTCTGCTGCGGTTCATGGCACTCAGATCTCGAGAGCGTCTCGTGTGAGGAATGTGCACAGACACACACTGTATGAAGACACTCACTAGTCAGGGGACCGAAGACGCCTGCCTAGAAAAACAGCAACAAAGGAAATAATTTTACAGTTCACCGTGGAACGGGAAGCGAGAGAGACTGACGTTCCCACAGCAGTCGACACATGATCGGATCCAGCTGACCTGGTCTCACACACACACACACACACACACTCTCTCTCTCTCTCTCTCTCTCTCTCTCTCTCTCTCTCTCTCTCTCTCTCTCTCTCTCTCTCTCTCTCTCTCTCTCTCTCTCTCTCTCTCTCTCTCTCTCTCTCTCTCTCTCTCTCTCTCTCTCTCTCTCTCTCTCTCTCTCTCTCTCTCTCTCTCTCTCTCTCTCTCTCTCTCTCTCTCTCTCTCTCTCTCTCTCTCTCTCTCTCTCTCTCTCTCTCTCTCTCTCTCTCTCTCTCTCTCTCTCTCTCTCTCTCTCTCTCTCTCTCTCTCTCTCTCTCTCTCTCTCTCTCTCTCTCTCTCTCTCTCTCTCTCTCTCTCTCTCTCTCTCTCTCTCTCTCTCTCTCTCTCTCTCTCTCTCTCTCTCTCTCTCTCTCTCTCTCTCTCTCTCTCTCTCTCTCTCTCTCTCTCTCTCTCTCTCTCTCTCTCTCTCTCTCTCTCTCTCTCTCTCTCTCTCTCTCTCTCTCTCTCTCTCTCTCTCTCTCTCTCTCTCTCTCTCTCTCTCTCTCTCTCTCTCTCTCTCTCTCTCTCTCTCTCTGTCACACACACACACACACACACACAAACACAGGTACTCTGTAATATACCTTGGTAATGAAATTCATGTACTATTTATATGGTGCTACAAGGCACTTCCCCAAATAGCATGGTAGTACTATGGTGGTTTTTTGTATGTGTAGCATCATCATGTCTAAATCAGGGGGGCAGGGCCAAAGGATGACTTTGAATTAGTGAATTATGTTAAGTAGTCAAAACTTAATTAAAATGCTAAAAGCACAAAAATATTTAATTATAATTAAATAATTTAAACAATTAAAATGCTAAAAAAAAAAAAAAATTAATTATATTAAAAATAATAAAAGGTTAGTAGTAATGTTAAAAGCACAAAAATATTTAATTTTATTAAAATAAATTAAACAATGAAAATGCTAAAAACGCAATTTAATTATATTAAAAAAATAAAAACTTAACACGCTAAACAAAATATATTTCATTATAATAAAATATAATTAAAACACTAAAAACGCAATATATACTATAATACTAAAAAGTTTATATTAAAATAATTGCAACTTAAATTCTAAAAAAAAAAAGCGAATTATTTAATGATATTAAAAATGCAAAAATAAATAAATAAATAAGTATAATCAAAACTTAAAAAGCTAATGATATTCCTTTTTTGATATTTGATATGATATTCCTGCTAAAGATATTCCCAAGGAAATATCTTGGTCTTTGAATGTGTGTTGGACAATATGAGGGGTTTAGGGTCAAAAAGGTTGAGAACTGCTGGTCGAAACAAAACTCTGCACTGCATTGATGAATTAGTGTGCCATTTCAATTAGTTGTGTTTGAAAAAGGAAATCAAGATACTTCCTGTTAGATTCCTGTTGTGTGTTACATAGAGAATTGTGTGTTTTGCAAAAAGTGTTTTATGAAATTGAAAACGGAGTCAAAGGCCGAGAATTAGTGTGTGCTTCTGCTGTTTGAGTGTCCGCTTTCAGAAATTGTGGGACAAATAAAGATTTTGTAAGCAGTTAAAAAAAACTGTAAGTGACCTTACAAAAGTAGGCTACTCTGGTACAGTGGTGGAATACCATGGTATTACAGTTTCTTCAGCTGCTTACACACAAAATCTTTACTTGTCACACAGTTTCTGAAAGCGGACACTCAAACAGCAGAAGCACACACCAATGTAACGCACAAAAATCAAACAGGAATAAATATTATGGCAAAGGTGTTTGCAAATGTTTGCTTTTGAGATGTGTTTGTGATGTTTTGAATGCAGTGCTTCATTTTGCAAGAGATGTGAGGCGTTTTGCATTTTGTGTGTGCAACTCTTGGATTTGTGTGTAAAGTTTTGAAAAAAAGAGGCAACGTGTGTGTAAGCAGTTGAAAAAAACTGTATGGCACAGTGATGGAAACACACGCTGATGCTTTGGGACTGAAATAAAACGCCGTGTTTGTACCTCCATCACTCACAATGTAAACACAGTTCACCAAGGCTGTTGCGCGTTTCTGTTTTTACCTGCCTGGTGAAGAGGATCGCCGCGTCGTGGTGATGCTGATGATCGTCATCCAGAGGGTTCTGCTGATTCTGCCATTTACAGAAGCTCTTGAGCGTCGCGGCGGCGTTCTTGGTCACCTCGATGCCCTTCTCGTTCTCGGACAGGATCGCGACTTTAACCACCGACAGGCGGATGGGGTTCTCGATGCTGGCGTGGCCGTAGAGTTTGGACGCGATGGACGCGAGCGTCAACAGGTAATGGTGCAGGTCCTTCCCGTACCTCTTCGTCATGGACGCGTCCGCGACCAGCAGCAGCTCCACGTGCCGCGCGCGGGACACGGAGCGCTTGCGTCGCGTCAGCGCGTCGCGCTTCGCGAACAGCGTACGCGCGTTCCGCGCTTTGCGGTCGCGCGTGCCGCAGCTGTGCCGCGCTGGCATCACGTCGAAATCGAAGCTCTCGCGCGTGTAATAGTGGAGAGCGCGCGTCGTGTCGGCTCGGATGAGCGGCGTGACGGTGTACCGCGCGTCATCCACTGCGAAAAACCCGTCGAGTCCGCCGCCGCACAGATTGAAAAGCGCAAGCGATTCCGCGTTTGAGTTGACGGTGCCGCGGTAAACGCATTCCCGACGCGGCGGCGGCGGCGCGTCTGCGTTCAAACTGAAGTGATGAGACAGTATAGACTCATCCCGCTCCATATCCAGCTGAAAGCGCTGCTCGTCTATGTACAGAAGATAACCCGCTTTTCCTCCTCCGTGATAAATCCGATCCACAGTGCGCACCACGCCGCGGACAGGTGCGAGAAGAGACGCGTTCGCAGGTGGACGGAACGCAACGGAACCCTCCAGAGCGCAACACAGCAAAACGATCCGCCACATTATTCCATGCAGTTCAATCCGGTGCAGAAAACTTTTGGAAACATTACGATGCGAAACGCAGCTTTAAAACGACTTGCGTGAGGAATTGGAGCTGGACTGATCCATGTCCCGGTGCGCATCTCACGCGTCACGGAAATAAGCGCATGAAGGCAGGATGAGAGAGGAGCGAGAACTAAAGTGAACTTGGAGAACAAAACACAAAGTTTCCTCTTAAAAGCACCAGAGAGAGAAAGAGTCCTGCCCCTTTGCGCTCGCTCTCCACTCCAGACCTCCTCCTCTCATTCTTTCCCAACTCTCTCTCTCTCTCTCTCTCTCTCTGTTTGTGTTCACTGTACAGGTTCATCTTTGTTAGGGGCCAAGTGTTTGAAAATGTCCTCACAAAAAGGGCTTTTTAAATCAGCTTCAAATCTACTAATGTCAACAGGTTTTAGTATTAGGGTATAGAAAACGCACTATTATCTTAGTACGAACAAGGCAGTTGCATGTGTTATAAATGTGTGTTTATGTGCAGATCAATGCAAACTGACTCAAAATCATCATATTGAGGACTTTTCTTTAAGGAAAAGGACCCTGGAGCACAAAATCAGTCATAAGGGTAAATTTTTTTAAATTGAGTTTTATACATCATCTGAAAGCTGAATAAATAAGCTTTACATTGATGTATGGTTTGTTGGGATAATACAGTATTTGAAAATCTGGAATCTGAGGGTGCAAAAAAATGAAAAAATTGAGAAAATCATCTTTAAAGTTGTCCAAATGAAGTTCTTAGCAATGCACATTACTAATCAAAAATGAAGTTTTGATATATTTACGGTAGGACATTTACAAAATATCTTCATGGAACATGAACTTAATATCCTAATGATTTTTGGCATAAAAGAAAAAAATTGATAATTTTGACCCATACAATGTATTGTTGGCTATTGCTACAAATATACCCCAGCGACTTAACACTGCTTTTGTGCTGCAGGCTCACAACTGGGTGATGTAAAATAAATAATAACAGCATATGACACATGCATTATATTTCAGTTCTTCTGAATATGTTGCTTTTATGTGAGAAACAGACACACATTTAAGTCATAATTTATTGAAAATCTAAAAAAAAGCCATTTGATTGGTGTAAAATCTTACAAAATAAAATTGATTTAAAGAGGTCATATGATGCGATTTCAAGTTTTCCTTTCTCTTTGGAGTGTTACAAGCTCTTGGTGCATAAAGAAGATCTGTAAAGTTGCAAAGACTAAAGTCTCAAATCCAAAGAGATATTCTTTATAAAAGTTCAGAGTCAGCCACGGCTACCTAAAACGGCTCGTTCTAACACACCCCTACACGTCTACGTCACGATGTGGGAATATTTGCATAACGCTGCCCAAATGTTCACGCAAAGAAAGAAGGCATAACTTTTATTCTCGCTGTAGTATTGTTGTTGCCACCGCCGCCATGTCGTGAAGACGCTGTGTGTTTCGTTGTGAAAGCAAAACTACTTTGTTTGGTCTTCCAAAAGAGGACACGACTAGAAATCA